GAACAAATACAGGACTCTATTATAGACCATCCCAGGACCCATCCCAACACACACAAAACCAACATCTCGCGGGAAGAAAGAACGGCTTTACACCATCTCTCTAGACTCCAAGACACCGTCATTAAACCGGCTGACAAAGGTGGCTCTCTTGTTTTGTGGCCTGTTGACATGTACACACAGGAAGCCCATCGCCAATTATCAAATACACTACATTATCAGACCATTGACTATAACCCCATCACTGGATTGGTAGAGGAGATATCCTACTATTTACTTGAGTTGTTAAGAGACAACATTATAGATAAGCACACTTATGAATACCTTTTACCACCCTCCCCCCCTCGTACCCCTCTTTTTTATATGTTACCTAAGATACACAAACCTGACATACCTGGTAGACCTATCATTTCTGGTTGCGATTCCCCCACAGAGAAACTTTCTACCTTTGTGGATCACTTCCTTAAACAGCTTGTGCCCTCCATCCCATCCTATATCAAAGATACCAATCACTTTCTTCATACCGTTTTAAACCTAAACACTCCTCTACCTGAGGGTTCCCTTTTGGTCACCATTGATGTGGTCTCTCTGTACACTAATATACCCCAAGATGAGGGTATATTGGCATCTATGGAGGCCTTAGGCTCACTCCCCTACCAATCCAGACCACCCCTTTTTGTTTTTCAAAAATTCTTTGAATTTATTCTTAAGCGCAATTACTTTTCATTCAACAACCAATACTATTTACAGACCTTTGGCACAGCTATGGGGACCAAGATGGCTCCTTCATTTGCCAACATATTTTTAGAAAAACTTGAACGCAGATTTCTCTCCAACACTCCAAGTAATGGTTTACAACCACTTATCTGGAAAAGATATATCGATGATATTTTCATGATCTGGACTCACGGTGAAGAAACACTAAACATTTTCCTAGAACACCTCAATGCTTTCCACCCCAACATCAAGTTCCAGTCTTCTATCTCAGCCACATCCATCAACTTCCTAGATACTACTATCTACATCACACCAGATAGAAGACTGGAATCAACCATTTACATCAAACCTACAGACAGCAGCTTGCTAATACATTATACTTCACACCACCCATCCAAGTGTAAGTCAGGTACTATCTACAGCCAAGCACTCAGACTAAGACGAATAATCACAAACAATGATGAACTGCACAAACAACTTCTACGACTGAGACTGATTCTACTTTCCAGAGGTTACCCTCATCATCTCATCAATCTAAATTTTCAAAAAATTCTCAATCTTTCTCAATCACAACTACTTTCCCTACCACCACCCATTCGCAACACTGAGGGGGTTCTCCCCTTTGTTGTTCCATATCATCCCATTCTACACAAATTACCATCCATTTTACACAATCTCTGGTTTCTGGTATCCAAGGATCCTGAACTCTCCACTATCTTTCCTCAACCTCCTATCACAGCATTCAGCAGGCACTCCAACCTAAAGGACACATTAGTACACACCAACTTCACCACATAATACAATCAGCACCCACCACACCAATGACCTCCCTCCTTACCTTCCCTGGGGGGCTCTTATCCCCGGTATACCACTTGGTTCAAGAGTGCTCAAACATGATACTTTACACTATAATGAAAGACCGAAAAATACAGCTAGGCTGAGTGTCTATATCCGCGATAAAGTGCGAGTTTTTTAACACATGTATAACCTCAATTGTCTGCACCTGTTGGTAGCTGTACATGATTAGGATTCACATCACTGGTAACATTATTGGAAACATTTTGCTGAGAACCATCAGAATACTTCTGTCTACAATTCTACATTTTTCATTCTTACAAGATAATTACTCACATTTTAATATTCCAAGAAGAAGAAGACAAGGTCTATCMATTACATGAAATTSAGTGACTCGGTCGGTGACCATCCCTGGGTCTCCCTTTCTGGGGTGGTGTTGTGGGGTGGGTCTAGATTTTGCGTCCACCCAGGGACAATCAAGGAACTTTAATGACACTACCCCTACAACTGAGGAGTCCAATCACTTCTACTTTAAGCCTACATTAATATTCAAAGAAAAACTTCAAATGCTACTCTGACACTTTAACTTTAAAATTAATGATGGCTCTTCTGTGGATCATGCATCCACCATGAAATTATCACCACAAAGTTCTCTACTGGGATACTGGCTATCTCTGTGATTTAAACTTCATAAGCATAACAAAGGAATACCATAAGTACTGCAAGAAGGAAATAAAAGAAGGGTGGGTTGCGGATCTGGGTCTGTCCCCTTCGCCTCCCTGGATGGGGTTGCCTGGGTTTGGTCACCGTCCTATCAATTAAGGATGATTTATACTCGCAACTACTATACCAGGATTACTCACCTACTATGAACCTATACTCTGGAATTACTTTTCATCGGACTGTGGTTTACCACTCTCAAGATTTTAAGGAACACTTGCGGGACATTCACTTTCCAAAAATTATTCGCTAGCTCACCCTATATATCTGTTACTCGCTCAGTTTTTCTACCCAATAAAAATATGTAATCTTTGTTCCACTAGTCCTCATAGCCGCCATTTTGTTATTTTTCTTCGTACCCAGCCTACATGTACACAGCCTACCCACCGTGCCTAGGGCGCTATATTACCACTCCTACCCCCACGGGGCATTTTTTTCACATTCACTCGCCGTGCTAGTTTTGTTTTTGGTAGCTCGCTCTTAGCTTTCTAACGACTTTTTCCCCTTCCGTTATATTTTTATCATATTATGTACGTTATAAAATCAATTTTGAATCAAATTCTCGCGTGTTATTTACTTTTCAAATCGTATTGCGTCTTTTTCTTAACCGGCTTTTTCTACAAATCTTTCAAGATGTACCGTTGTCAAAAAAGCTCGGGGACTAAAAAACCCTTCGTGTTATCAGGTATGTCCATCTCGCCATCAAAAAATAAGTCCATATCCTTTCCTACTTCTACGTCGTGCACTTTTGTTCGTTTTTCCTGTAATTTTCCTTATTYAGGACACTTAGTATAGGTTCAGTGACTTGATCACTACCGGCATGTCTTGCAACACACTTCACTTTCGCCTTATTTACTTGGCACCCTACTTATAAATGGATTTACCCATGGTAGCCGCGTGTAKGGTTGAGCTCTAAGGCCTTGGAGTATGAAACACGTTTGCCATCCACCATAATGACAATGCAGTTTTAAAACATCTTAACCCCTGGTGAGTAATGTTGGACTGGGTTTGCCATGACATAAAGATAAATCCATTTATAATTTTATATACATGTATATACAATTACACTCATACATTATACTGAAACTGCATTTCATACAGATCCAATCCTTCCTACAACAATAGAGTCCGATTACCCTTGCATCTTTAAANCGCCTGCATTCAGCGGCATTCCAAACTAAACACCCACTGAGAGTCGGTGTCACGTGACCGGCCGATGCCAGGGCTATCTCTGTCCGCCAGTTTTGAAAAAAACAAAAAAACAAAAACAGGGAAGCCCTGGGAACAAGGTTCACCTACATGCAAAACATGTGCAAACAAAGGAATATCAGCTAACAGCTATCTTGTTAATATCAGTTATCAGCTAAATAAACCCGAAATTCTCAGTTAACAGTTAATATTTTAGCCGTTTCTCAGTTAACAGTTAACCCCATTCAGACCCTGTTTACTAGAATTACAATTCAAATAAGAGAAAAACTAACAAACAGGTTAGAAAGAGTTCATCGTAACAAGTGCGGAATAGTTCTTTTTTGTTGGGGAGCTTGAGACTACGGACGATGAACGAGTTTTGTCCAGAAAACGTCGCATGACTACAACACATATTCCTCTGTATGTGCCTTAGTTTCATCACATCCGCTCAAAATTTAGTATTTGCGGCTTAGTTATGATACTTGGGATAAAGTAGCATTTCAATGTAACACATATCGTCGTTTAAACATTCTTTTCAATGGTTGAGTTCACCTGCCCGGTGTACAATCATATACCTTTATTCTTGTGTGGCAGTTTTCGTAGCTTACTCGGTAGATTTTCAATGATGATCTACAGCTTTCCATCTTTGCTTGTTCAATCTTTTTTTGAAAAACAAGTGGTACAGGGATGATCTCTGGTTTTTGATAGTGTGGTTCGAGTGAAGGTTTTTGTCTTGATTTTCTCTTTTTTCGAAACATTTTAAGTACACCAYGGACTGAACAGCAAGATGGCATATTCTCCTTTTGGTTCCCTAATATTCAAAATGAATCGAAGGTGCTTTCGTTCGCTGTGAWTACACGATAACAATAGCGCGTTCCGTATACGTGCTGCCAGCTAGAAATACAAACGTAAATGTTTCGTAATGTATAGCAAAATATGCAAACTTCACGTGGCACATGTGACAGGTTTGACGAATACGTGACGTATACTAGGTGATCTGATGACGTCATTTTAGCGCAAAGGGGAAATTATTTTAAAACCGTATCCCAGATATATACATATAGTACACAGTCCCAAAGACCTCTTTCCTCTGATGGTCGGTCATGTTCAGAGCGGTCACGTATCTATCTGTAGTTAGTAGAAAGAGAGTAGATTCCCTTTAGTCAGGAGATTTGCCAATTTGCCACAATATTTATTCCAATTGGTAGTCCGATTACCAGCCGAAGTCCAATCAACCAATCATAACTCTAATAGCTTGTTCGGAGTACTAATCGGACGATTTGGAAGCGTCCGATTGTTTTAATTACAAGTACGATCTTCGCCCGAACGAACGGAGGATTTGTGAGAGTCCATAGGGATTGGAGAAAATTCAGATTTCTAAATATATCGTTATGTCAGGGGTTGTAATTAACTTTTTT